TATTTAAAATAGCTTAGCAACTTCATATACCCCCACAATCTCCAGATTTGAATCCTATTAAACATCTGTGGGATGAATTAGGTAGAAGAATAAACACCCTTGATGTAAGGAATAAACAACAACTACAATTAGTAATTATGAAAGAGTGGGGCTTAATCACTCTAGAAATTACCAAAAAATTAGTTGATTCTATGAAAAACTACACGAAGTAATAAATGCTCGTGGTGGAAACACAAATTATTAAAACATTAACAAATTGAGTTCAAATAACAATTTTATTTGATTTTTGTAAAGTGATTAAAAACATTTTTGGGACAAAAATGTCTATCTTTAATTCCGAAATGCTGTAATTTATTTGTTACTCATTACTTTAAAAAATTTTCTTTGTACAATATTTCTTAAATGTTTAAATGATATAATTTAGTTAATATCATGCTAACATCTTTGCTAAATAAAAATTTATTGCATTTTTAAAATGTGCAAGATAGGTGGGTGAAAACTTTTTTGACACAGTGTATATATATATATATATATATATATATATATATATATATATATATATATATATATATATATATATATATATATATATATATATATATATATATGTATATATATATATATGTATGTATATATATATATATATATATATATATATATATATATATATATATATATATATATATATATATATATATATATATATATATATATATATATATATATATATATATATATATATATATATATATATGTATATATATATATGAAAAATAAATTAGTTTTTAAAAAACTTGAATGTAACAAACAAGACTATAAAAAAAATATTTGCTAGGTATAATAGCCTGACTTTTTTAACCCTTTGTTTACCAATGGTAGATTTAAGCACTACCTGAAAAAGTTAAATGTTGTTGCTTTTGATTTACCTGAAAAGCATTTTGTGAAAAGCTAAGTCTTTGATGTTTTAAAGATAAATAATATCAAAATAGAAGTGGGGCATGGCAATCAATAAAAAATCTTATCAATAACAACAATTAGTTAATGAGTAATCAATAACCAACTATGTGAATTAGGTTAAAACTCAATATGCATTTTTTTTTAAAAAAATGTTCATTTCTTAGAATGTTAGCAACCATTATTAGAATTGGAAGTTACTAGAAAAGAAAAGATGAGGTTTTTAATGCAAGATAACAGAAAACCTCAAAGATTGCAAGGTAAACAAGATGAAGGGAGCATTAACGTTAGCCAAAGATGTGTATCTTTATTGAGACACCATCTTATGCCTTTACTCAACCAAGAACCTCAAAGCAAGGGGTCTTTTAAGTCAGAGTTGGATTCTCATAACCTTTGCCTATTCAAGAAAAAATTAGAACCTGGAAAACGTCTTCAGCTGTTCACTTAATTAAGAAACAAATAAGTTTTGGATTAGGATTGTACAAACTGATATTCGTATAATTATAATGATGCAACAAATAATTTTGGTTCTAGCGCATTGATAAGATGCTAATAAATAATCTCATAGAACCAAGTGTTTGCCCCAAGTCCAGTCTTTTAGTCATAGTATCTAGGAAGGACAGTTCTTTTAGAGTATGAATGCAGGTTGAATAATTTAAGGAACACCTTAAACATTTTAGATGGCTATAAACAGCTTAAAAGAAGCTGGCTTAAAACTAAAAATGTTCTTCTGCACCAATTAAGTAAAATCATTGCCATGGCAATGCATCATCACCACTTATTGTCATTTGTACTGCAATGTCATTTGCAAAATTGTTTGTTAATAAGATTGCATTTAAGAATGAATACAGGACCACCATAGATGGAGAACCAAGATAGTTTCAACAGATAGTGGAAGGGTTTTAATTTATTGGTAAAAATTGGTAAAGAGGTGTGTGACTAAAAGTAAAAAAGTTGTTCACAACTTTTGATGATTTTGACAGATGGTTTTTTGGAACATATTTAAGGAAGTCAAATTCTCTCTATCTACATGACCTCTAACTAACGTGATTGAGATGTTCATCTTCAGCAGTACTACCTTTCCACATAACAAGTATACTATTCACTATGCATACTATTCATACAACTCTGTTCTGCAATGCAACACACTTGTAGCCAATGTTTATTCATACTGTCTGCATTCTACAATAATTCAACTATATCATTTAGTAATTCAACTATATCATTTTTACACTGAAAAAGTCACTTTTACTTGTCTATCAAAATTCTCAATTATAAGTTTTGGGTATCAGAAACAAACAAAAAAATAACTGTAACAAAATGAGAATGTTTTTCTGACATCAAAATTTATTTTTATGGAGCATTTTATGTACGCATCGAAAACTGCACATTGAAAACTGGAATAACTTTTATTGTGCACGAATACGCACAAAAATGGCATTTCAACGGGAAAACATATAAACAACAAATTTCTGGATGAGTAGTAACTAGAACAATGTGAAAAAAAGTTAATATCACTTTTTATGCTTTGCTACAATCATAGTGAATTGCAAGAATTGGTAATAGTATAGAATAAACACGATAAAGAAGTCATGAAATATATAGGTACTTATTCTAACTGTTGGTCAAGCAGTGATTTTTTACCAGCGTTGCTTTTTTTTTAAACTAATTCTCTCGTAATGAGGCTTCAAACAATCACTAAAATGTTGGGTGTTACTAGATAACAAAGAATAGTATTCAAAAGAAATTTACTGGTTGACATTATACTTGGAAAATTGAAGGTTGTATGAGTCAGGAAAATTTAATGATAAAAATTAATTTATCATAATCATAAGTTTAAATTGTCTAGTTTTACAATAATGCTGTTAGTTTATTATAATACTTATACTTGTTAACGTCTTGAAATGTATATACTTTTACCTGTTAATTTATGGTAATACTGAGTTTGAATTAATAAGTTTTTTGTGATGATGATGTTGTTGATTTATAATAACGAGCAGCAAGCAACCCGTGATACGGGTTAGTATTAAATAAATCATTACTAACAATTTGATTTTTATTTATTTTCTCTAATGAAATATTAATTCACTTATACATTTTTTTAGTTGTGCTCACTTTTATTTTTCTTGGCTTCTTAGTTTAAGAGAAGTCTTAGCTTCATTAAAGGTAACCATTTTTTTTCCAATGTTCTGACATTGAATGCGGAAATCATAACCATGTAAAGTTATGACTTGAATTATATGCATAGGTCATCGATGTCAAATTTCTTGATTCCGTAAAATTGTTTATGTAAACTTTCGAAATATATTTTACTCTTAATTTTGCTTTAAGCGGAGTCGTTTCTTTTTTCTTCAAAGTTTTCATTTTACTGAGTGAAGAGCTAAAAAATATCACTAATATTGAACCTAAACTTTTCAATATTTTTAATATACTTTTTAAATATTTTTTAAACACCTAAAATATTACACCCAAACTTGTTGGCATAGAAATTAAATATCCGGAAAAACCAAAAAAAAATTGAAATATATATCCGCAATTCCGGAAAGGGCTTATCCCTGCATTCAGATCCTATATTATTATATGATAAAGCTTATTACTAAACCAATCTTCTTTTAATTAATAATCCAGCAGAAACTTGTTTATAAAAAAACGATAAAGGAATATATCGGTATACTTTATAGCTAACGTGTTCAACATATATATTTCAGCATACATCCAATCCATATTTATACTAATTTTATAAAGTGTCTGGAATACATTTTGCCATAACTTTGCGTAAAATTATTAGTTTTATTTCATTAATTTTTGTATAGATCAGGTTAATAAAAAAAGTAATTGCATTTTACTCAATATTTTTGAAGTAATTATTCAGCTTTAATAAAATTGATAAAACCATATAAGACAGTGAAAAACCTTTAAACCCTTGTTCACTTTTTGAAAATCCGTAAAAAAGCAAGTCTTAAATTTACATATCTTTAAAAGAAATTTATTTACATGATATATAGTTAAATATGTAACAAAAATATTTTAAAACAGAAGCATATATAAAACACTTTTTTCTTAAAAAAACAGTTAAAGTTGAAGCCACCATTTACAGCACCGAGAAACCAAGCATAGCCTATTGTAAAGACAACCATATTAAATAATTAAAAATATTTATTACCAATAGGGACAACAATTAAACATATTTAAAAAGCAACATGATTCCATATTAGTAGGATTGTTATAGAAAAGTAAATTAGTAAAAGTATATTAAAAAAGTATATTAAAAAAAAAGTATATTAAATAGAAAACAGATTTTTAAAAACTACCTAATTTTGTAAGCAATGGTGTTCAATTTTGAAACCAGTACTTTTAATGGAAAGCCGACTTGTTTAACTAATCTCATTCAAAGAAACAAAATTATTAACACTTAAAGATAAAGAAAAAAAAAATGAATGAGATATAAACAATTGTACTATAGTATTATATAGATAAGTAGATATATATATAAAAAAAACAACAACTGGAAAACAATATACCTGCTTTTGGTAACCTATTGTGATACTGCAGAAGTTGATGTAGGGATGCAGCAGTTCTTGTCGGTGTTGTTCAAAAACATTATTTTTATGTTGGCTTTTAGTAAACTTTAGTTTAATTTTAAAGACATCACAATAGATTTAAAATATTCTAAATAAAAAGCTAAACATAAAATGCTTCAAGGAGCCAAACTATAAACATTAAAGATAAAGAATCGAATCGAAATAAAAATAAATTGTATTTATATAGTTAAATATATTGCCTTGGGTTTTAGTAAATTTTAAAAGCAGTGAGTTCAATAAATGAAACTACCAAGTAACTATTTTTAACAATAGAATGCAGGATCATTTTATTATGATAATTGGATAATGAATCAATTTAACTATATTTTGAAGTTCAGGTTTAATTGGTGAAAAAACAATTAAAATTTTCATTAAAAAAGATCAAAACAAATTAAATATACAACATAATATATATTTAAAAAAAAAATTACAAAATTAAAATAAAAAATACAAAATTACAATATTAAAAAAGAAAAAAAAAAAAAAAAACACCGAAGAAAAAGCAGCAACCAAAAAGTCATATAACACCCCGGTATGGATGAGCCCTCCATTTGAAGGAGAGCTCATCCATTCCGCCATTATCTCTTCATTTGTTGAAGGACCTTTCTGAGAGAGGTTGGGAGCGGTAAGTTCTATAGTTTTCGAATGTTAAGGAATCTAAAGTTACAAATAAAAAAATATAATAAAAATTATACATTTGCAATTTTATTTAAAAAAAGTTAGCATAACCATTTTCATTCGAAACAAAAGATGCTAAAAAAAATGAGAGCAAATTAAAAAGGGTTAAACATGCAACATTTTTTTTTTTAATAAAAATGTAGGGCAATAATGCAACCAGTTCAAAAATGTCATATTTATTATTTAATTTTTCCACCTATTGCACATATTTCTCCATACAAAATATATAAAATATAAAACACAGCCCTACCAGTTAAGCTTTCACCAGACGCTAAAGACAAATATATACTTATATAAGTATAAAATAATCGATAAAATAATGTTAACATATAAATGTATACATATCTAAATAATTGTTTTTCCATCCCCCTTATTTCATCCATAAAGTTGTCTAAAGTAAGAAAAAAACAACTAAAGCTAAAACCAAAACTATAAACTTAACCAAAACTATAAACTAAAGTAAACTTTAAATCTAAATATTAATGCTTTATTTATTAAACTAAACTAATCATAATTTATACTTAATTTTTGTTCCAACTCCCCTAAAAGAAATTATAAAATAAAGCTAAAATACCTGTTTTTGTAACCTTTTGATATTGCAGTTAATATAAACATTTATAGAAAAGGTAGCTATAAAATCTGTTTCGAAGTACAAAAGGATTAACAATACTCAAAGAAAAAAATCAAATAAAGATATAAATTGAATTTTTAGCAAGATTTTGTCTTGGCTTTTAGTAAATGAATAAAAGCAACAAGTTCCAATAATGAAACTATCTATTATTCATTTTTAACGATAGACACCAACAGGAAGGTAAGCCAAACTGTCTATCAACACAAAACATCACAACAATATAACAATATTATACATTATAACAATACAATAACACATAACAATAACACATTACAACATTATAACAATAACACATAACAATAACACATATTTACACCCTTATAACTAATATTTACACCCTTGACTCTAAAATCCAGTGGAAAACAACAAACCAATTTTAAAAGAATATGAAAGGCAAAACTAAAAAACCAATTTTAAGTTATCTATATTTATCCTTTTACTAAACTTTAAAATAGTATATCTGTTTTTATATTCAATATTAGTTATTCAATTATTTCAAATTTAGGACATTAAAGCGCCCTGGGCTTAAGGATCAAGGTTGCATGCTCTCTTATACACATTACACAAAACATTAACAGACATTATGTGTTTCCAGAATAATTATAAAAAAGCTAGACAATACAACCTAGCTCTAAAGCAGTAACACCGCCTGGCACTAAATGCTGCCAAGTCACACCTCTGCTATAAGTACACTGCTTGGCTGGCAAGGTTAACAATCTTGCTTAACATATTGCCAAGTCACACATAATGTAAACATATATACAACTATAAACAAATATGACTTTATATAACACATATAAACACAATATATAACAATATTAAATGACAAATATATTCATCAAAAACTATGAAAAAAATAAAAATATTAAAGTTATACATACAAAATGCGCTCACAACCTACAAACAGTAAATTTTAGAAATGATAATATTAAGACTATAAATTAAAAACATTAGAAAATACAACATTTGTATAGTATTTTTCACTTACCATACCTTGAATAGAATGTTTATCAATTTTGAAAAACAAACTATTAAATGCTCTAGTTCTTGAACATGCAACGTGTAGTTGACCATGGGAGAAACACGGTTTTTTTAGATATACCCCAATTCTATCAAATGTTTAACCTTGACTTTTATTGATTGTCATCAAATAAGCCAATCTAACAGGAAACTGACAACGTTTTAGAACAAAAGGTAAATTAGAATCTGATGGAGCCAACTGAATTCGAGGAATAAATACCCAATTATCTTCAGAAACACCTGTCAAAACCTCTGCGTCAATATAATTGTTTTGGAGAGCACAAACTTTCATTCGGGTTCCATTACATAGCTCAGCTTTAAGATCTAAATTTCTAAGTAGCATAATTACACAACCAATTTTCAATTTTAAACAATGAGTAGGCATACCTGAAGGAGTTAAGCTGTTCAAAAACTCAACAGGGAAATTATTTATTTCATTAAGATCGTCAGTGTCTATTTGATTAGCACTTAAATAAGTTTTGATCTCTCCATGTAGACATTCAAGCATTTCTTCATTGATTGACAATGAATCCACATTAGTGGGTGTTAAAATGACACATTTAGCATAATCATCTTGTTGAGCATCTCCAAATATTTTTTCAACAATTGATTTGTTTTCTCTAATAATGCACTGTTCCGGTATTTCAATACATCCCTTAAAAAGATCTTCCTCCTTGACAGGTATTGATCCACTACCAAGTTTTAACAGCCATTCGGAAAATTCTCCTTCTCCATCACATACTCTCATATTTTCAGTTAATGTAAATCTCGATCAAGCCTATTTCTTTCATTTTGGCGACGATTAACATTATCTCAATCGAGCCTATTTCTTTCGTTTTGGCGATGATTAACGTTATCTCGATTAAGGCTATTTCTTTCATTTTGTAAACGATTAATTTCATCTCGCCTAAGTCTATTTCTTTCATTTCGTCTACGATTATTTTCAACACGCCTTATAGCACTAACATCATCTTGTAAATACATAACTTCATCTAGCCTATCATCCATTTCAATGTCATCATTTTCATTAAACATATTTATCAAAGCAACACTAACTATTTCTTTTTTTTTACTAATCTAAAGTTAACAATAAAATAAAAAAACTTAATAACTGAAAAAATCATACTCGAAAAATTAAAAAAAAAAGTTCTCAAAACAAATATATATAAAGAAACCAAACAAATGCAAAATAAAATTAATTTGCCATCATCAAAAGTAATACAGGTTTCTTAAGTTTATTTGATAGAAGTTAAGAAAAACCTGCAACCGCATCAGCAAAAACTTATTAAAAAAAGTTAAAATTTATTTTATTTCTAATAAAAAAAAAAAAAATTGCGACAGCGTCATAGTTCATGCGTTGGGAGAAAACATCGAACAAAACACGTAATAAAACTTATTAGTGCATTATGTACAATAGAAAACAGGTTATTAATGCGGTTTTATAATTTTTTTTCTCCTAACACACTATTATGCTGCACCATTAACTGCACTATTATGCACTATTTCTCCTAACACACTATTATTTGTTTTCCTAACACACTATTATGCTATATATATATATATATATATATATATATATATATATATATATATATATATATATATATATATATATATATATATATATATATATATATATATATATATATATATATATATATATATATATAATATATATATACTATATATATTATATTTTTAATATAATATATATAGTATATATTTAATAAATAAACCTCTACAATTTCTTTGGTTCAACAACTCGATTATGATTAATAACAACTCTGTAAAAATGAATTTTCTAATAATTTAAATCTTAATAAGTTATAAACAATTAATTACTTATTTAAACAAATAATTACTTATTAAATTTTAAAAAGATTTTATATATACCTAATGTCTACTTAGACATTGAAATACTTAATGTCTATTTAGACATTAAAAAGATCTACAATTTTGAAAACCTGAAACTTTAAATCTACCTCAAAGAAAACAGATATATATTGAAAAGTATTTTTATTTTTTTTTTTTAAATTTAAAAATGCTTTTTAACTTACTCCCTCCAATATTATTATATAATTTATATTATATATTGATAAATAAACCTCTACAATATCCTTGGTTTAACAACTTGATTATGATTAAATAACAACTCTATAAACATGAATTTTCTAATAATCTAGATAAATTATAAACAATTAAACTTAAATAAAAATGTATGCCAATGATAAATGCTATATTAAGTACAGAAAAACAAACATATAATAACACAATTATATCCTAAACCAAAATTCATTAATGCAAGACAAATTATTATATATTTATTGAAAAGCCAGAAACATATTTTTTTTCAAAGAGCCAAAGTATTAACAATACTATAGATAAATTTTATTTATAACAAAATGTTGTCATGGCTTTTATTATTATTAAACTACCCATAAATATCTTTTAACGGTAGACACCATAGTAATATCTATATTTTCAATATTAACATCTATAATACAAAGCTTTAAATTTAAAAGTACAATTTAAAAGAGATTACAATAAATTAATTACTTAAAAAATTTTAAAAAGACTTTATATTATTTATAAATTTAAGCTACAAAACATTATCTACTTAGACATTTTGAACTCGTACCATGAAAGGTTGCGACTTTTTTAAGAGAGCATGTGGTTAAGAAAAGTCAAGAAACTACTTAAAAAGTGTATTTTACAAAATTCAGAACCGTACCGTAACTATAAAACAATAGGCGTAACTATGCCCACTAATAATAATAATAATAAAACTCACTACCTTAAAAACTTAGAAACTACCTTAAAAATGAAAGTCAAACGACACTAATAATAATAATAATAATAAGAATAATCATTGTGCAAATTATATTTAGATCTATATTTTATACACGAAGCTTTAAATTTAAAAATGCAACTTAAAAAAAGATTACAATAAATTAGTTACTTAATAAAATTTTAAAAAGATTATATATTACCTATAATTTTAAGCTACTAAACATTATCTACTTAATGTTTAATTAAACATTTTGAATTCGTGAATGAAACTACCTCTTAATCATTTTTTATACAACAGCTACCAACATAAAGATAAGCCAAAGATAACAACATTACGCAAAAAAATATCAAAGATAACGTTGTGTATTTTCAATATAGTTATATAAAAGGCTAGACAACATTTAGACCTAAAGCAGTGCTTGATTGGTAAGAATGAAAAATATATCTCTACATGTTTGCCAAGTCACACCACTTTGAAATCATGGAAACAACATTATATAAAAATATATACTAACTTTAAAACACAATATATTTTTTTTAATGTTATATAACATATAAAAACACCTCATTTAAGAATCATATACACATCAGATAAAATACATTTCATACTATTATAAAAATACATTTAAATAAACAACTATATAACATATGTCACCTCATTTAACAATCATATACACATTAGATAAAATACATTTCATACTATTATAAAAACACATTTATGTAAACAACTATATAACATTTATCATCAAATACACGTATTTATCAAAAACTTTTTTAACTTCGAGCATAATATATACATATATGCAAACTTTTAACAACTATAAAACAAT